CATATTTGTGCAAAATTTCTTCATCTCGCTCTCGTTGAAGAATCTCTCTCTCACTCAAATTTTATCTCCACTAAAAATATTCTTCATAGTATAACAATTTTTAATTATTCATCTCTTTAACAATTTTCCAAAAAATAATAGTATTTTTTATTTTTGCATTTATTACGGCATCTTCTCATGGGTCTCTTGCTATCTATTTTGATGAGATCGTATTAGGTGAAAGACGGAAAAGAGGAGCATAAGTCATGGGAAAAGGCAGTGAGGACGGAGGAGGCAGAGGTGGTGAGGATACAAGAGAGGTTTTAGGTAGGTGAGGAGGAGGTTGAGGCATGGGAGGGAGCTTTTGTGCTTGGAGAAAGCCATTGGAGAGAGAGAGAGAGAGAGAGAGAGAGAGAGAGAGAGAGTAGAGAGAGAGATTTGTAGGTGAGTGTAGGTGAGTTGTGAGAGATGAAAGGGAGGTTAAGAGGTTTAAAGAGGAGGGGAAAGAACGAGTTTGCATTTTTCAAGAACGGCTACAAGAGAGCTATTGAGGGGCGCTTATTTTGTCTTGGTTCATTGTTCGCATCATATGGGTTCTTCTCCCATCTTTATTTTCTTTCTGTGATTTGCGTATTGCATATGTGTGAACTTTTGGAATTATCCCACGTTAGGATGCCAAGCAAGAGATTGGGGCCTCACACATTATAAAAGACCATGCTCTCTTCTTTCATAATGTGTCCTTTTAGCGAGTGGGTGGGCGTGGGGCCCTCCCAATGAGATATATGGCCCATCTAATAAGATTCGGGAAATTTTATACTTTGAAAAATAAAGGACAAAAGTAATAAAAATAAAAATTGCATAAAACTTTATAAATAAACATTACGACCGGTTTGGACTGTTATTTGACATAACGATCCGGTTTTGTTGAATCGGGCGGTTCTGTAGGAGAACCGGCCAGATATTCAGCAGGATCCAGATCGGCCTGACCAATTATGATCTAGATCGGCCGGTTTCGATCTAGTGGTCGTCAAATGGTGGTGGCGCCTAGCTACACAGAACGACCTTCTTTGGACCTAAGTCATTCTCTGTAAGTACAAGATCCCCACTAATACTTGGCTGCCGGAAGGGAGAACACTGAGCAAAGCATAAGGGGCTTGGAAGTATTTCTTATCTTCCCTCAACCTCTTCCAGAAAAACATTCACTTCCACCCTTGGGAAGGCCACCGCATCCGCTTCTGATCTGATCTCGGGCTGGGCCACACCCCTTTCAGGGACCTTTTCTCCTCCCTTTTCTCTCTCGCTTCCATCGAAACCTCTACAGTTGCAAATGAGATGCTCCTCTCGGGCAACATTAAAGTTTGGATCCTATCCTTTAGACGTCCCCTTACTGACCCCGAAAACCATTGATTTTCTCTCCTTGTCTTCCCTTTTTTGCTCTAACTTCCTAGCCTTTTCAGGGCCAGATCGCTTGGTGTGGACCCCATCGCCTTCGGGTTCCTTACGGTGGCTTCCTTCTATAAAAAACTCTTGTTACCCCCCTCTTTTCCTCACTCCCCGAGAACCATTGTAGCTCAGGTGTGGTCCTCCATAGCCCCCCAAAAGTGCAAGTCTTTAACTGGATTGCATGCTCTAAAAAGGCCCTCACTGTGGAGCCTTCTACTCCAACTCTTTCGCCTTTCCTGGGTCACTCCTCCCTCTCCTAAACCTTTCATGGGACACTCCATGGCCTAATGATGGCAGGCTTCTTTGGAAATCTTCCATGGCAGCCACGATCAGGGTCATTTGGATTGAGAGAAAAGCGAGGATCTTTCAAGGGACCAAGCGTGAAACTCTGGCCCTATTTCAGAAGATCATCTCGGAGGTTGCTTTCTGGGCCTCTAACCACAAGACCTTTAGAGGAGTCTCCGCCATAACCTTCCTCCACCAATGAAAAGACATTCTCCACACCCAATCGCCTCGTGTCTCCAGATCTAGGAGCTGGATCTCCCCCCCAGTGGGCCTCACAAAGCTTAACTTTGACAGGTGCTCCCTCGGAAATCCCGGTAGGAGTGGGTGGAGTCTTCAGCGACCACCAAGGCAACCAACTCGCTTCCTACTCCAAGAACATCGGCCACACGGACTCCCAATGTGCTGAGTCATTGGCACACCTCACTGGCCTCAAGCTTGTCAACCCCTCCTCGCCAACCACTTATTGTGGAAGGAGATACACAAAATATAATCTCTTGGGCTACGAGATCTGTGACCCCCCCTGGTACTTGGCTTCAAAAAACAACAAAGGTGACGCCCCCAGACCTGTGATCCCTCAAGGTCCATCACTGACAGGGGTCTGTAAGTTAAATTTTGATGGTTGCGCCTTTCACAATCCAGGTCCTTCAGGGGTTGAATCTCCTGTTAGAGATCACTGTGGGGTAATTTTATATCCTTACTCAGGTTCAGCAGGGCATGGTAATTCGATAGAAGCTGAAGCTCTTGCTTTACTCATTGCCTCAAAGAAACGACACTGTTGTTAGTAGTGGTTTGTGAGTCACTGCACACTATTAGGCGGGTGATTTCTTACAGCCCCTATCATTGGAGGATGGCAGATGCTTGAGATTATAGATTTGAGGAAGAGCCATTGGTTTAACATGACAGTTGGAGACTCTAGGATTGTCGAGTTTCTCTCTCTCTTCCCCTCCCTCCCTCCCTCCCTCCCCCCTGCCCCCCCCCCCTCCACCACAAAATAAAAGGGAAAAAAATGCCTTCTACTCCACTCATTCTACTATCTTGTATGTGTCTCTGTTTGTCTCCACTTAGTGCAATTGGATGTATGCCCACCATACTATTATTGTTTCAAAAGGGAAAAAAATTGCATCCATGATAAAAGACTCTACTTGGTACATGGATGTCATGAGCTTGAGTCTCAAGGAGCATATGTGGCCCATGTGACATGGGAAATTTCCAGCATTTATCAATCGTAAGCTACGTCTTGCATCATTTTCTTATCTTCACTTTGGACGTCCTGCTATGGCCCCTTTTCTCAAAGGGTTAAGCCAAGAGGTCAAATCCCTTTGATTTACTTCTATTTGTTTTTTTTTTTTATAATGTTGACTTAATTGATAAAAGGGAATATACAAAAGACCTTTGCAATCCACATGCGAGAATGCTCAAGGGATAGAACCAACAAAAAGCTGAATCAAAATCCTTTTTTAAGAGGTTATAGCGAGGCACAACAACCTAGAAAAACAGGTTGATTCACAAAATAAGGAAAAACCCAAAAAAGCTAGATTATAACTGTAGCGGCATCTTTCGCTAGGGAGTCAGCATCCTGATTTACTTTCCTCAAAGTATGCATCCACATGACCGATGTATTCCTGCAAAGATCATCAATTTCATCAAAGACGTGTGCCAAAGTCCAAGGAGGGGGGAAGAAGAAGGACACTGTGCCCAGGTGATAGTGTTCTTGGAGTCTCCCTCCACCACATGCGAATGCAGATGGAGGGGTTGTGTGAGTTTCAGACCTTCCAGGAGGACTATTGCTTTAGCCTCCATGGAGTTTTTCTGGCCGCTGTGTTTGAAGATTGAGGCCACGAAAGTGCCGAGATGGTCTCTGAGGACAGCTCCTATCCCTGACGGGAGGTTTACTTCTATTTGTTTATTCTTTCACTGCAACCATAATGGGAATGTTTTAGACTGCAGAACGTATTTTCTCAAGAGTGAGAGCAGGAGATAGAGATTTTTGGTTGTTACGTTTGAGGAAGAGAAGAGGAAAAGAACATTCTAGCACAATGATTGGGTAGAAATATGGATGTATATCTTATTATTTAAATTGTGGGGTAATGTGCCCTGTACACATATAAATCTATGTGGGGGTTTCATTACAGAGTCAACATGCAGGTGTTACAACAGAGGCTTTCCTGGACTATAGTTACCCTTCCTTTTTTACTGTCCTCGGGCGTCTCTTATAAACCCTTTTTGCTACACTCTATTTCTTGTAATCTGGCAGGACATGGCCGATTTTTTTTATAGGGTCTTTGGACCTATTTTTTTTTGGCCAAGGTACCCGCCGCGTGGGTACTCGAGGCCCTCTCTTCTCCCTTTTCACTTGTACTCCCTCTTACAGCAATACGAAGTTAACATTATAAAAAAAAAAAGAGTCAAAACTTAGTAGGATACTATACAAATGACCTTATTCAACTTTGGTATAGATCGAGTTTCTAAGAATGTGAGGATTTTCCTTAGTCAACTTTGGTACAGGTTGAGTTTCCAAGAATTGGAGGATGCTTGGTCAATGTGCCTTATCATCATATAGGACGTTTCTTTAATATCACTGTGGGGATGATAATATTCATGACATTGGTTGCCAAATTCCTTAGTTTGGGAGTACCTAGGGATATCTCGTGCATGCACACGCTCATTATGGTATTTTTCTCTTATTGGTTGATAGGGATGATATTATGCCACATTTGTTTCTTTTCTTTCTTGTTTCTTTTTTGCAGGACCACTGGATTGGGGACCATGCAGAACCCCGCCATTTATAGTGTTTGTTATTGGGATATTTACCCCTTGAAAATGTGGATCTATCAATGGTTTCATACATCAGATTCTGAATACCTCTATAAGTTACTTGACACTGGAATATCTTTTCATTTGGAACGAAACCTTGTAATATATATCCTTCCATGTCAGTATGGGGCTAACAGCTGTATACCCCAGCTTCTTTTGTCTCGGAAGAATGAGGGCTGCAGCGTACGCAATGGGTGCCCATTGACCTTAGAACCATGTAACTTGCATTTTTAGGTATCAAATTGTAACAAAAAGACTGCTTTTCAGAGTTCTTTGTTCTTCGCACAATCCATGGTTATCTACTCATAATTTTTCATCAGAGAATTCTTGGTTAGTTGACTTCTAGTCTTTGGTCTAATTAATGAATTTAGTTTCAGTTTTTGCTATTGTGTTATTCGTAATGGATAGAAATTCTAAGGGAAAGGAAAATATAGATTGGATAATTTTTTCTCCTGAATTTGACTTTGATGATCGTGCAGAGGATAAATCAACTCTTGCTTCAACTTAGTGAAATGAAGGATGCAGTAGCTGCGCGGCGCAAAGTCTCTGTGTTAAGAGTTGCTTAATATGTCCGTTGAGGATACAAATGGACCTAAACACGATGCCACCTTTATGACCTTAAAGATGACGCTTTGTCGAGTGCTCATTGTTACACCTGGAAGTTACTTCTGATAGTACATTGAGAAGTTTTGATTCTGTTATAATTTATTTTTCTGGCAAGCTTCGATAGTCCTTAATAATTTAGTCTCCTTTGTGTATAAGCTACTAAATTTGCTTGTAATTTGAGTCGCATGATATGGCAGTAGAGGCAAGACAAGATTGAAAGGTAGTATGCGATATTGATGTTTTCACTGGTCAGCTGTGAGGTTACTCACCTACAATGTTACATGAACACGGGCATGAGTGTCTGACTATAGTACCTGTCTAAGTGCCAAATGCAGTAGTCTAAAATGAAGTCACCGAGGAGGATGTGCTTGTATGATTATTATTCTATAGTAACCAATAAAATTTCAATGTATATATAATAAATAGCTGATATTTATTACACTTAATTTTGCCAGCGCAATAGTAGACTGTATGAACATGGTTGCAAGTTGTCTTTGGCAAAATGTCTGGGTGCAAACCCAGCCTGTGCTCCAATATATTTTCAATGTCCCCCATGTCTGGGAGTGTTGAAACGGGTGTAAATGTCGATGCAAAAAGCAGCAGCAGGAGTCCCTGGGTAATTGAAACGGGTGTAAATGTCGACGCAAAAAGCAGCAGCAGCAGGAGTCTCTGGGTAACGTAGAGCAGGTATTCGGACAGTCAAAAAGGAAGAAAGGGGCTTTTGCTTGAGAATAGGACTCCTATATCATCTGGAGTCTGCATCTTAATCATCCAGCAAACATCATGAAAGCTTACTTGGAATTGTATGAAGCCGGACCATAGGTTAAACGAAGTGACTTGTTATGATGTGGCGTGGGCTTTTCTATGCAATCCCTTGTTCGAGGATTATATATAAAATACTGGGAAGATTTAGTTCATTTGAAGTTGATTTTACAGTTGGTTTTAGGGCTAGTAATGATAAATTGTAGGGCTTTGAATAAATAGTGGCCTTTATTTTGTAATAATGCCAATACATAAACGAAATCTATTTTTTTTTAAAACAAGTTCTAATTTGTTTGGGGAAATATCAAATGGTTCACTGATATATTACAAAGAAGCATGATTTCGCCTTTCTATAAATTTTGCATTATATTCTCCCTCTCTCTCGCTGCATGTATGTTTGTTTATGGCATTCATGGTAGTTGAGCTGAAAATGGGCAGATTACAAACTTGCTTATTGAAACAAAAATGGAAGGTAGAAATCAGGAAGGATGTTTTAAGAAACGATGACATTTGAAATGTACCTATTAAATGAGGAAAAGCTTCTCTTACTTTCTGGAGAATCAGCCATTTCTTTGTGTCATTAGTTGCCTGCAAAATAAAAAAAACCACCGTTGGCATCAGAAAGCACATTTTAGAGGCAGCAGGAACAGGCATTGCTTTGCAGTAATGTGGCTGAGGACTGTCATGGCGAGAGAGAGAGACTTCGTATTCATCCAGGGTCAAACCAATGGGCACTAAAAAAGTGTATATTTTTTAAGACTTGATTTGCTGATGTTTTAAGGGATTGCACACAATAGAACTATTGCCTTTTGTAAACAAAGGTCATAGACATCCCAAGCCATCCTATAAAATGAGACGGCTCAGCTGTCATTTCTTTGTAGCATTTTTTTTTTGGGAAAATTACAAAAAACACCGTAAAATGTTCTATGCAACTTACCCCTACCCCAATCTTTTCTCACTCTTTTTTCCCCCAAACAACCTTTCTTCGCAAAACCCCCCCCCCCCAGGTAAAATGTTTTTATTTTTTGGATAGAAATGCCCTTCCCGTACAAACCAAATCAATTCGGGGATCCCAAATAGAGTAGTGCCGGAGCGCAGTATACTACTGTCGGAGTAGAATGTCAAGAAGCACTGCTGGAGGGCGGTGCTACATTGTCGGAGCGCTGTGGCTCCAAAGACTTCATTGCCGGAGCGCTGTGGGCCAAAGACTTCATTGCCGGAGCGAACTGCCGGAGAGTGTATTTTCATTGCCGGCACGCGTTCTTAAAATGCCTGAGAGCTGTGGGTCAAACAAATGACTACCGGAGCGCACATTGGGATTGCCAAAGCGCCCATGCAGACTGCCGAAGCGCAGTTCTCAATATGCCAGAGTGCTGTGGGTCAGACAAAGCACTGCCGGAGCACACATTGCGACTATCAAAGTGCGCATTCGGACTGCTGAAATGCAGTCCTCCATTGCCGAAGTGCTGTGGCTCCAGAGGCTTCATTGCCGGAGCGCGTGGTTGCATTGCTGGAGCGAGTTATCAGAATGCCGGAGCGCTGTGGGTCAGACTAAGTACTACGGAGCGAACATTGGGGCTACCAGAGCGCGTCTTTACTATGGGAAACACGAGAGAAAAGGCCATGTGAAAAGAAACGAGGGTACTTTAGTCTTATTTCATGTTACTTTTGGGTTGGGGGGTTTTTGCGAGGAAAGGTAGTTTGGGGGAAAAAAGTGTGAGAAAAGTTTGGGGTGGGGGTAAGTTGCATAGATAGTTCATTTTTAGGTGTTTTTTTGTAATTTTCCCTTCTTATTTTTTGGATTTCGGGCGGATTCACACACAGCCGATCAATTTTACATCTTGGAGTTAGAGATGATTCAGACCTTTCTGTGCCCAAGCTAAATAGTCATGTCATATGCTTTTCCATATTTCAATTGATTCCATCATTTCTAACCTTTTTCTCCCGCTAGTGGGGATACAAAAAGAAAAGCAAATTAGCATTGTTGCATGCGCACTACAGAGGGCTGTGAAGCAGTCAACTACTAAGAATGTTTTGGACTTTGGCAAAATGACAGGAAGGGCAGCCCACTTGATCGTCCTCCTATAGTAATAGTAGGTAAAAGGTAGCAAAAAACAAAGCACGGGGAAGATGTGATCATATGTCCTCATAGATCCAGCACTTTTACCTGAAACAACAGTGTAGGTTTTCCACATCCATTTTAAAAGGGAGGGTGTCTCTCTCTCAGAGTGTCCAGGGTGAAGTATGTATGTCATCATTCATTTCCTTCGATAAATTATTATAGGGAGTAGTCTTGATCTTCAAAGTTTCAATGCCACTACACAGATAAAGGTAGTGGACAGACAACCCCACCATTGTCTTTTTTCTGATGGTGGTTCGCATCATATTTCTTTACTGTTCATGTCGTCAACTCAGTCATGCTGGGAATTTTTGAAGAAAAAGATTAATTTTGATGTTCCTTTTTTTGCAATTAGTTTCAATTGTTTGGCTCGGTTCACACAACTACAAGAAATGCGATGCAGTGTGAATAGGCATGCAGTTCGTTTGTAATATGTAAGTTGCCTCAATGCTAACATGATCAATATAATAGGAGAAATGTGTTACAATCAACGGGTCATACATTGGCAACATGAGCAGAAAGCGTACATGAATGATTAATGTAAACAGCTCCATTCATGAGGAGAGCCCGATAAAAGCAGAAACACACGATCATAGATATGTAGGCCCTTGATGAGGTTGCTCGTGACTCATCAACATAAGAACATTCACCATTGCATTTGTGACGATGCAAATGGCCTAAAAAAGTTATCACTTTCATGAAAGCACCTCTTCACCAGGATTCCTTTATAATTAAACCAGAAAGAAATGAAGTTTATGAAGCACATGCAAGGTAGACGGACTCCCCCAAATTATAAAACCCAGTGCCACTGACTCCCTCCACATCCTTCACCATCAACCAAATCCAAGATAATGCCTTCAGAAGAGTTGACAGTGGAAGGAGAGATGGGAAGTGGCAGGTTGGGGAGGGAAGTATCGACCCCACGTCACCTTGTAGAGAAAGTGATAGAGATTTACACTGAGATTGCCAAACTGGAGAGCCTCAAGCCAAGCAAGCCTGTGAATGCTCTCTTCACTCACCTCGTCCACATCTGCACCCTCCCCATCTCATTCGATATGGACAGCCTTGAGAATGACATCAAAGATGTGCGCTCGAAACTTGTCTGCCTCTGCGCCGAAGCCGAATCCCAGCTGGAGGCTCACTTCTCGGACCTCATAGGCCGCTGCCCCAGACCCATCAGCAGCCTACACATATTTCCTTACTACTCCAACTACCTCAAGCTTGCGGTGCTTGAATTTGAGACCTTGGTGGCAAACCACATCCCCATGCCAAAGAATGTGGCATTCCTGGGCTCTGGCCCCATGCCCCTCTCTTCCATCGTGCTTGCCCTCCACCACATGCCAACTACCCTTTTCGACAACTATGACATCAGCCCTCATGCCAACCTTATGGGCAGCTCACTCATGAGAGGCCATGCTGACCTATTGGGAAGGATGAGTTTCCACACATGCGATGCAAAGATGGTGAAGGGGGATGCGGTGGCAGAGTATGACATGGTGATCTTGGCTGCCTTGGTAGGGGTGATCAGGGAGGAGAAGGCGCAGATCATTGCTCACTTGGCAGCTCATATGAAGCAAGGAGCAACACTGTTGGTCCGGAGCGCACATGGCTCCCGAAGCTTCCTGTATCCAGTTGTGGAGGAAGAGGATCTCTCTGGTTTCAGTGTCATGGATGTGGTTCACCCCACCAATGAAGTCATCAACTCCATAATTTTAGCCAAAAAAATCTGCAACTGACCCCATCCAATGACTTGTAGACATTGTCAAGATCGGGTTGCGATGAACCCTTTGCCTTATTTCTTCTCATATTCAGTCAGTCTCCATCACTAATATGTGAAGTCTTTCAAGAATAATGTTGCTTACAATGCTGGTATTATTGAAGCTCATGGAGTTCTTCAGAACCACAACGAGGAATCAAGAGGCGATTGCATGTTTTAGTCTAGGCCACATTCTCTTCAGCAATGAAGAGCTTTCATTTTCCATTGAAACAAGATACTTAGGGTTTTTGCAAACTAAAGTAGCATGAACTTGTCTGAGCCCCCACATCATGCAATTGCACTAGACACACAAACACCTTCCATCTCTAGAAATAACCAAATACACTCGAGTTCTCCAATAATCCCACAACGGTGACCTCTAATTGTAACCATCACATCGGTTACGGAATTTAGTGCGTACAAGAAATGTAATACCCATGCCTTAATAGATTCCTAAATAAAACTATGGCAAGATAAGACTAGGTGAAGTTGTTGTTGGTGACATAAGACTAATGGGCTAGAAATACAATCTTTTAAAAATTTTCCATTGTATAAAATCTCAAGGGTTTAAATGCATGGATATCTAAATACAAAACCATAATACATATATTCTAGCCTACAAAAATGGTTTATACACATTTGAATAATAAAATTCAACCCTAATAGGTCCCTTACAAATTCCTTACTAAAAAATACAATTAAACTCAATACAATATTCAAATATTCATAATGTACATCCTTACAACATTTTCCATGACTTGCACTCGCAATTCCTCATTATATCAAAATTATATAATAATTCCATCTTCATTCTTCATCCTCGTCATATATCACATTGTCTCGTACACATCATACACTTGATCATAATAATCCAATAAGATTTCAATTCGCATAAACAATAATGCATAGCATTAAAGCTCATACCACGAGATTAAAGAACAATCTCCGCATTCACACAACATACTCAATTTAACCAATCATAAATCCATGTAATAATTGCAAATACATCAAATTAACATGCAAACATACATGGAGAAACCATGGTTTGAACCCCTTGTGCCCGGGCCACGAAAGGGCCTTTTGAGGACTTAATTTTGTCCCATTGTCTAAGGCTTGTGTGATAATAATAACTCAAGGAGATTAATTCAATGGGAAGCAAATGATCACTTTTATTTCACTTAATCGGATCAAATCATGAGAAAGACTTGTATCAAAATAGCCCTTCAAAGTTTGAGAGAGATACTACACAAAATAAAGAAGTTATGGTGAAACTGCACCATGTGATCCATAAGGGACCACACGAACTTTTCAACATTAAGAAATGAACTTAAGGGACTATTTTATATGCTCAAATATGATGAAACAAACCTCTCATCAGTTGTATATTCTCAATAAAAATTTCAGAAAAATAAGATCAAGAAAATCAAGTTGAAACTTCTAAAGATCATGGAGTAAACAAGCTAGTTTACACATACTATATATATGGACTACACTATTGCTTTGGGACTCTTTAAATATCAAGTTTTCGTGACCAAAAATGAAGAAGCTACTATAAATTAAGAAATACAGCAAGTTTTGATAATGAAAATGAGGTAAGAATTAAAAATATAAGAAGAAAAATCAATACCTTAATGCAGCAATAGTATGAGCTTGTTCACATAAATGAGGGACTACTCCATGGAAGGGTTTCAAATGAAAGCTCAAGGAAGAAGATAGTCTCATGGGTGACCACATTTTTGTCAAGGGAGCTCTCTCTCTCTTGAAGTAAATACTCAAGTTAGGGTTATAATTGATCCCATAAGTTACTTTTATACTTAGATGATAAAGATGGATTTGATCTTAATCCTTGATGCCTTAGATCAATGGTACATATGAGGCTTTTATCCAAGCCACTCATCCATATCTTATCACCAAAATCAATGGATGAGCTTTTGACACCCTTCACTCCTTAAAACCTAGGTTTATAGTCATTTTACCTTGAAGCCCTTAGCACCATATTTTATTTTCTATTAAGTCCAAATTCATGTTTACACTTATGCCTATGGTTTTTGAATAATTTGTGAGAGTCAATAAAAGATAAGGACATGAACATAAAGGTAATATGGGGCATCCACACATGTGAATAAAATATCTTGACACCACCAATAGAATTTTAATAATACTAAAGTTTTACATAAGTCAAGCCCATAAGGTGGTGCCACATAAGATATACCCACATGCTACAAAGTCATATGTGGATAATAATATGAATCAAATTAATTATCAAAATCCCATGACTTCACACATGCCAAAAATGGCACATATGAGCAAAAAAGAAATATGACTTAAATCAAACTTAAGTCATAACAATATATAACACTGTAAATAACAAGATAACATGTTATAATATAATACCAACAAAAGAATTAATGACAAATAGGTCCCCACATGAATATGACATAAGCATGATGTCATCCACGAATGGGAAGGTAGGGGTGCCACGTGGCATCCTTATGGCCACTAGCGATCCATGTGGCATCCCCATCCATAGGATGTCCTTGTTTGGTATTTACATCAAACAAATTTGAAAATCACATTTTTTATTATTTAAAAAATCTAAAAAATTCTCCAAAAATCCCAAAAAAATCTCTAAATTATTTCTCAACATTATTACACAATTTTTCATCAATATAAAATCTTTTCTCATCAATTTTAGATTAATTTGGGCCAAAGGTAAATGAGATCTCTAGACTTATAGCACTAGTCAGAATCTCCCATTGGGCTAACCCAAATTACGTTTCACCGGTGTCTCAAGCCGACCCAATGGACCTATGCTCCATAGTCTATGGCAGGGACACATAATTGGTCACATCAAAGTTGTTGAGCCAGAGCTTCCCGTTACCAAGGGTTCAATGGATTACTAGTGCACCTCTGTGGGACATATTCCTACTTAAATACAGGGGTTCTCTCAAAGCACATGTGCACTTGCTCTTTTAAGTCGGATAATACTATAGAAGATTGGCTTCCCCATACGCCTGTGGGTGCACATGCCATGGAACGGTCTCGTGTTAAGATACGAGCTCATGTCCCATGAGCCGACCATTCCATACAGGGCGAATACTCTTTTAAATACTCGAGTTCTATTATTCTCGATTGGTTTCTCCAAGCCCTGGCTTATCATATCAACTATGAAGTATTCTAGTCAATATAGTCCTGACTAAGAGGTAACCCTCACACCTCCTCGAGAGTTCACACTCTCAAAACGTATACTCTCAATGCCTTAAATACTCGGGGTCTATGAATCTGGGCCCCAATGCACCAAGCACCGAGATTCAGTCTCTTTCTAACTCCCACTGAGTATAGCACTCTTGACTTTAAGGCCTTGAAAGGCCACATAGCCAACAGTTGTCATGTTTGAAAAACATGGCAAATTGTTTGCCCCCATAGATGGTGGCAACTATAGACCCTTTTTGCTGGAATCTACACTCGAGTTCTCCAATAATCCCATAATGGTGACCTCTAACTGTAACCATCACATCAGTTAAGGAATTTAGTGCGTACAAAAAATGAAATACCCATGCTTTAAATAGATTCCTAAATAAAACCTATGGCAATATGAGACTAGGTGACATTGGCATATTTAAAAAACATGGCAAATTGTTTGCCCCCATAGATGGTGGCAACTATAGTCCCTTTTTGCTGGAATCGGCCCTTTCATTAATACACCTCACATGAAAATATCATCTGGATTGCTTGAATAAGAAAGTATCTATATGCTTCCAACTAAAACATGGAAATTGAGCCCTTATTTTGCAATTGATACTATATGCTTCCAACTAAAACATGGAAATTGAGCCCTTATTTTGCAATTGATACCATATGCTTCCAACTAAAACATGGAAATTGAGCCCTTATTTGGCAATTGATACAGTCAGCCACATACTTGAAAAGCGATCTAGAAGGTAATACTTTGGGAATATGGGGTCTCTTTGTCCTCTCTCAACTGCCTTGTAGGATTTATAATACCAACCGAGTTTATTATCAACAGGAAAGGAGAAAGAAGAAAATGAAAGGCCGAAAAAGTTATGATGGTCGCAGCAAAAGCTGCGATCAAGTAAAAGGACCAATCTGCTCACAACGATAATGGGAGCAATGGTCATAACCTCACAAGAATCCACTATGAGTGAAATATGATCTCATGATAAAGTTGCTCCAATTAAGTAAAAGAGAATAATGTCTAGAAAGACAATATATTACTCCATTTCTACTGCAAATACCACACCTGCACAGCCCCATGTCTTTCCAAATTCCAACAATGAGATCTGTTTATTCTTAGCTCTGACTTTGCATTCCATGTCTTAGCTTTTCATCCACAGAAATTAAGTCTATGACATGCTAATTATTGGAGCAGACATGGAGTGCAATCATAAATTAAACAGATAAATTTGATTCAATTACATGTGCACCTACACACACTTTGTGTGTCCTACAAATGGTCACCCTTGTGCGTGCATGTGTGTTTGTGGATGCGCATTGTAGAAGAGCTACATTGGACACCGGATGGCTGTGTCGTTAGAAATTATAACATGGTCCAAGATTTATAGCCCTGATTACATTGCATGTCTACATGGAAGAGGGTTAAGGTCTAAAGGGGATTTAATGGCATGGAGAGTGTGGTCCTAGCATTTGTTATATTTTTTACTTTCACATGAATCAGTTTGCACTTTGAACCAATAATAACTGTGACTAACTGAACCTAATGGTCATGAACAACCTTCTTTGGCCCCAACAAGTTAATCATATTTGGCCTCAACTGGATAATCCACGTGCCGCCAACAAGGAGTTCACATTTGCTTCAAGCAATTGACTTGTGCCATTGTCTTACCAATAGAGTTCCAGTTGAGTTGGAACTCGTCAATCTCAATTTGCCTCACATAATCAACCTGGCCAGAATTACTTTAACCTAACCCACAAAAGTCACGAGTTCAATGAATAGACGATACGTAATCAATAAGCAGCCTGCAAACTCTGGTGATCGTATCACTGACAAGTACCAATATGCATGACTTAGTTATTGACAATCACACCTCTGTGATAATCTCTTATCATAACAATACTGAATAATTACCTATGCATGATTCCTTAAGTTTATGTGCCCATGTGAACCTACAGACTGTCAGGATCTATTGCTACCACCACAATTTGTACAGAATTCTGCTAGCTATATCAAGTTATGTTTGAAGTTGATCCAAAAAAAATAAAAATAAAAATCCCAAGGCCCTAAGAAGATTAAAGGAGCTCTATTTTGCAGATGACACCCAAACATAAACAATGCAACTTTAGATTAACTGGTAATTGCAGCAGTGAGTAGTCAACTTTTGAAGAACATGTACATCATCAAACTGTATAGAACATGCAGATCTGCCATTCAAAACCAGAATGATCATAAAAATGTATAGAAAAACATGGAAAAAACTTATTACGCGAGGCAGGTGGCAATTAAAGGCTAAGAAGGACTACAAAACTGCAGAGCATCAAATTGAGATTTTCCATACTACACATTTCAGGATGAGATATTTTGACTCCCAACAACCCCTTATTTCATTTGCAACTTCAGAATAGCAATGTGCCAAGTTTTGAGTACAACATACAATAATTTCATCCATCGCAGTGGATTCACTTCAAAGAAGAAAGCACATGTTTTTTTTGGGTGAATAAATGAGCAAGTACATATTTAGTTTTACTTAATCATATTACATTCTTTGAATTGCACGACACCTGCAATTTTACAATTGGATGAGGCAGCCCTATTAGTTTCAGTTGGAATAATTATCCATCCAAGTACTATTGTCCAACTCATTACTTCTGAGATCAGCCATCATATCTACCCTTGACACAATCAGGAGGTTCCTCTTCCATGATGCCTGAGCCAGCTGAGCCCAAGTACTCCCGAATGGTTGTCTTTCGATCGCCAAGGAAAGTATGATCCAAAAAATTATCATATGCTGCTTCACTTAGGTTCTTTGCTGCCAACACACTAGAAAAAAAGCATGCATACTCAGTCAGCTGTTTTCCCTTCTATCAGGCAACATCCTCCACCATGGCAACAGAATTGTGCCCAGATGTTGTATGGAATATATGAACTCCAGCAACAAGCCAATTGTTCTCTTCTCTTTACTCTGTTCATGGCATCACTGCTCTTAAAGCAGACCACACAGAAATTACCTGTTTCTGGTATCTTGCAATATAATCATCTCATAGAGATACTACGTTTTTTATGTAGCTCTCACTAGACAACCCTTTCTAAGATCATGTATTGCCTTTCTAGCTAAAATTTAGGTAGTATTTTGAAAGATAATCTAATAGAGAAAAGGGAAAAAACGTACCAGTGTCGAAGATAAACCCGGCAAGGCAAGATATCATTCCGCCAGATTTGGTAAATGTTTACACGTCCATAATGTTTGAAATAGATGTCCTTATTCCCTGAAGGAGAAAAGAGTTGTGTAATTAAAAGGGAAAGGTTTCTATACTTCCCCTACAGCATAGAAGATCCATGCTTCCCCAACCATCCAGCCGTCCAATTTTGATCAAGATAGCCACTCACCATTTGATCTTAGATCCAACATTTCAAAGTATTTTATTTTTAGTTTTTTTATACAAATTGTATGCCATCTTCTCATTAGGGCGCACCTATAAAACATATTAAAAATAATTTTTCGATAAAATATCATTACCAAAATACCCCTTGAAACTTTCAAGGGTATTTTGGTCATTGTATTTTATTGAAACTATTGTTTTTATATTTTTCGCTAGTGAGAGTTTAATAGAGCATTGGACGTCCAAAATTTGGTGTCAAAATAGTTTATAGAAAAAAAATTAAAAATAAAATAATGTAGGGACGTGACATTGTGATTGGGGAAATCTTAGCCTTCCATTCAGAATGGACGGTTGGATAAGGGCAAGTATACAAGTTTTATGCGGAAGGGGAAGCATAGAAAGCTTGCCCTAATTAAAATTGAAGATATTGAGGACCAAAACAAAAAAAAAGAGAACCAAGCAAGCAAATTACCTCTAAGATCTTATAAAATAATTGTGTTACTCTTGTTGTATCTTTTCAGTTAATTTGTGAATTATTGTGTTACTCTTGTTGTATCTTTTCAGTTAATTTGTAATTTAAAATGTAAGGGAAAAATGAAACTAGAAGTTCAATACAATTATCTAATATATACATCATTGTCTGGCATTGGGAGAAGAAGTAAGTGATAGAAAAGAGAATACTACAGGAATATGATGTTAAACGAGTAAAGTGCATCAAAATATCGAATTGTCATCTCTCTGAATGCCTCATTCTAATTGTTTTGTAGGATTTACGTCCAAAATTAAGGGGTGAAAATCAACAGACGATCACACTAATCTCAAATATTTCTTTTGGGTGATTTTGGTGAAGAAACTTCGATAAAAGGTTGTCTACCCTTTAAAGCAGAAACTAGCATAGTGGAAGTCTGTATGAGAGATAACTATGGTTTTCTTAATTGTTGAGGTTGCTAAGGTTTTCTTTGTAGATTGAAGATGGTGATGCTGGATTGATCAGGAGGCTTTGTAGTAAGAAGCAGAATTTGCACAGGGCTCTGGTGCCTCTGAGGTTATTGAAGTCCAGTCCTGGAGGTCAAAAGGCTTTCTCGAAATTCAATGGCAATGCCAATTAAATAGGGAATCTGCGACAAGTTGAGAGTTCATTTAAAAAGAAAGAGCTTACAAGCATGTACCCATGCACAATAATGCTTAGTAGATTTATGATGGCTTCATTAGTAAGGTATTATGGGATCTGGTTTATTAAGTTCAGAAAACTCATAATTGATGGATAAATCCCGCAAATTTGGGTCAAAGGAGATAAGCAATAACACCTTAAAGACCAGAAACTCATTCAAAATGGTCAAATATTTATCAAAGAAGGATTCATGAACCAGCCCAAACTTATCCAAACTGGATTTAGTAAAAAAACCATGGAATTTGAAAAATTGCAGCAGTCAGACAGCTCGAACTGGGCCTTCACTGCGGTTAGCAATGTAAATTGACAATCGTTGAACCCCTTATCAAATTGCGTGAGATTTAGACAGCAGGTTTTGGAGATATTCCCCAAGTAGCAACCAAATTTCATCTCAAAAAGAGATCATTAAGGTATCACTTTGTTGACCGCCATCATTTTGCAAAGTGCAATCTGTCAGACAAAAACTGACAATGGACTTGAGACCAATCTATAACAATCCACAAAATTTCAGTTTGAACCGATAACATTAAGGTAGTCTATTGAGCTCGATGCAGTCAAGCATTTTGCAGAGAGTGGTCGATCAGATGAAGATGACAGAGTGACAGTGGGCTGTATTTAATTTAGTTGAATCCCTTATCAGTGTCTAAACCAGATGAAATTTTAAAGATACATTCCAAGAAATTACTCAATCAACTCAGAAAATTTAAGCTCAAAATAAGTTTATTAAGATGGGTTTTCGGGGGCTAGGACAAGCGGTTTGGGATATTGCAAATCTCAGCCGGGCTCAGAAACTGGCAGAGGTCTGACCCAGCTGAGGTCGGAGTGTTATACGTCATTTTTGACGTACTTGTATCCCCGAGACGCATAAGCCCGAGACGCATAAAGAGAGAGCCAGTAACAACCTGGTCCTGCCAGTACCCAAGATACTGCCAGACCATGAAAACACTGCAAAATAAGCCTAAAACTGGGCAAGCTCTAGAAAAGAACTAGAACGGTTTCAAAGGGGATGAAAAGGGTAGTTTGGGATGCCCTAAGGACGCTCACAAAGTTTCATTAAATTCCGATAAGTTTTGATATGATCAAGACGAAACTCGGTTCTCAAATCCGGTTCCTATCATGTTGAAAAGGGACCTTATAACTACAACCCTATTTTCGGAGCCTCAAAACAATACCAGACCACCGCCATTGGATCCGGATCTTCGAAAAACCCCTAGGGACCAAATTTGAGCTCAATTGGACCTTCCAGACCATTCTAGATCCAAATTACCATAAAATGGTGGGTTTTACACTATTGTGGTGTAGCCTCGGTGAACCAGTTTCCATAAAACTGTGTTTTTACCTCTCGGGATGATTTTTCAAATACTCATAACTCGTTCGCTTTGAGTTGAAACATGCTCAAATTCGGACGCGAGCTAGGTCTCGACAACCCAGTCGTTTTGACATATGGCACACGTCATGACATGGCCCGAGATGAGAGAATTTCTAGAGAGAAGATGAGCCCAAGAACATGAAAATCATAATTTTTAAAGAAGACATCCCATACTTCGTGAAGTCATAACTTGAGATCCGAGTGTCGGATCATCGCAAATATGGGTACGTTACGACCACATCGCGAAGGGCTACAATTCGGCATAATGTTTGAGCTCAATTGAAGGCTGGATAGTGTGAATTTAAAGGTTGAAAATTGTAAGATTTTTCGGTCGCTGGAATCACACTTTTCGGTGACTTCCCAAATTGGGGATATGCTCAAACGGAAACCAAAATGGACAAAATTCGGTACAAAATGATCATGACAACGTCCTTTTTAATTTGTTATCAAAATGTGGACCCGGAACATCATGGATCGCACTGGATTGGTGGTTGAAATTTATGGATTTGGCCGGATTTTTGCCCCATCATAAAAAATCCGTTTCAAGACGATCAAAGGGCATCAAAATGTTCGTGATGGATCAGGCATCAATTCTATGATGATTGATCGCCCAAATCACCGCCGCAAGTGTTCGAAAAAACTCCCGAAGTCTAGTAATAGCAAGAGGCCCCTCAGGGATGAATGGTTTTGTCATTTGCTCAAAGATCCAAGGGGTATTTTGGTCATTATGTCCAAAACCGGGATTTTCTTTTAATTCCATTTAATTGTATTTTGCTACAATTTGACTTAGTTTTGACCTCCAACCATGTTTGGTGGTTGTTCTATATAAACAAGTTTAGGACATTTGTAAAAAGGCTCGATCATTTTATGAAAACTTGAGCATTTGAGAGCAATTTCTTAGTTTATTTTCTTGCTTTGCTCATAAGTTCTAGATCAAGTGAAGAGGAGAGAAATATTTTTGGTAGAGAGAGAAACTACCCCTTCCAGTCCAAGCCTATTCTCTCTCCTTTCCCACTTCTCTCTCTTCTTTCTTTCTCTCTCTACCCCATTTTACCTACATGCACGCAAGATCTTCTCTCCTCTCCCCCTTCTCTCTCTCTTCTTTCTCTCTCTACCCCATTTTCCCTACACGCATGTAAAAGCCGCACCTACCCCTCTCATGTCAATCTTTCATTTGCTTCTCTTCCCTATCCTTTGATAAACTTGGGCATGCCCCAACGCGTGGCCCCGTCAAATTAACCTTATCTCTCCCCCTCTCACGAGCCACCCCCTTTCCTTTCCCTCTCTAGTACGTCACTATTCTCTCCCTCTTTCTCACATCACACACTCACACCACACACTTCCATCTCTCCACCACATACTCACACTCGCATCACACACTTTCTCTCTCTTACACATAAGCCCCTCTCAAACTCACATCACACATTCTCTCCACCACACACTCACACTCACATCACGCTCTCTCTTTTACACGTAAGTCCCACTCACACACACACTTACACACTCTCACTCACATTACACACTCATAATCACACACACTCTCACTCACACACTCACAATCTCACTCACACACTCATACTCACACTCTCACTCACACACTCACATCACACACTCTCTCCCTTGCATGTCTCACTCACACTCACATTACATGCCCTTTCTCTCTACTCCACACTCCTATCTCCACTCTCTTACGCACCCCTTTCACACATTTCCCCCTGCACTTCACCCATTTGCACCTACACTGCGCTGAACACACATCCATCACCCCTCTTACCCTTAGTTTAGACCTAAAATTTACCATATTACCAATAGGAGGAGACCCCAAAAAGTATACCCTGAAGACCATTTTTAGTGTGTGGATCCAAGTGCTGCGTAGGGAAGCGAGGGAGTCAAATTCAAACCAAGCTGCAAGGACAGCCGGAGGGTTTTCGAAATGATCTAAGAGGGCAAATCGCCCGGACACATCCCGCGAACCCGAAACGGCAAGGTAGGTGCGCGAGCCCTTCATTGTCAATCAAAATCTCTCTTTGTTAGTGCCTATCCGCACTACAAGCACACATGCGTGGGCCTCGGGGCTGTTTGAGAAAGGATTCCTCCGACCGGGTTACCCATATCCGGGCCGATCCGGGACGACGAGAAATCAGGCCCAACCACTGAGTTTCACTAAATTGGACCCCCTATCTATGCCCAAATTGAATGAAATTTTAACTAAAGTTTTTTTATACATTTATCTACCAAACTACAAAGTTTCATCTCATTAGTAAGACCATTAGGTAGTCTTTTGTTGATTGCAGCCAAGAATTCAAAATTCATTGATGTCAGGCAGATTACTCAAACAACAATTCGATCCGGATTTCATAAAACCCTCAAATTGTGTCTATATCTATGAAATTTGGACAGTATCTTCCTGAGATATTCCTTCACATGTCCACCAAATTTCACTCAAGACTCGCCCTAGTTGACAAAGGACAAGGCTGAGTACAGAACTCTTTGTAAGAGTTGAACAATTCTCTTATAACTCAATTCATGTCTTATCAAGTTAAATTGCAATAGGATTCCCTGATTTGAGTCCATCTTTAAAAACAGAGAAATATCACACTGGATATGATTATAGATGCTGGTCATTACCTTTGCATCTCTCATGGAAAAACTCTTCATCGCTATACCTCGCACATAGAACCTGCACAAGTGACAAGAAGCACCAATGAAAGAAAGAGAATAAGGATGCTTAAAGAGAAAAGTCATGGACCAGTATCCTAGAATAACAAAAGTTATGATCCACTTGGTAACTTTCAAACTTACCGCTGGATGAGTAAAAGGTTTCCCATCTAATTCCTCTGGGATGACCTGTTGAAACACTTCATTATTAGGTGGGTTCCCAGGGAATTGAATATTATGTATTCATTGTAGATCGAGGTAATTTATTATTATTAGTATTATTATTAGATAATTGTAAATAAAGGTAAACATTTAATGATTCAGTGAACAATTTGAGTGAAATTATTATCCATTGTTTAACAAATATAACATTCACAATAGGAAAATAGAGCTTGACTTATTTTACCCAACTTACAACTATGTAACGAAACTCAGACTCCCTCTCCATAAGAGCTACAGCCTGTTGAACTCAAAGAAAGAAAACAAACACTCATGCTTAAAGAATGGCATAGACTTCATTTATCTAACAAAGGATGGAGAAAAATAGACATAGATTGCAATTATCTTTACCTCTGACTTTGGTACCTCAAAGACGGTAATAATAAGATATCCTCCAGGACATGGTTCTGTGCTCATGCTTGAAATTTCCTGCAACACTTAAATATGGATCAAATGGATCACTAAGATGTACAATTTTTTCTGGTTAGAAACTTAAAAAATTAGTCACATTGAGGTCAACCAAGTCAAAAAAAAAAAATAGTGACATTGATGGTTCAAGAACAGATATGAACAAGGAAAAACACATGATTTATGTAATTTAAATGATTTATGTAATTTAACCTTTGTATCCTCCTTTGCTATCCCACGGTCATAGAAAAATGCAGCAACATGAGCATAAATTCGTCTAAAATCACGCAAGGCAGCAATTCTAAAGTTTCTCAACCCTGGGAATGTACCACGTGCACTCCTTTCTGGTTTGAGAAGATTGAGAACAACAGTTAAAGATTGAATAAATGTGAACATTGTTGAAACACAGAAACTAATGAAATGAAACATCATCCATTAACCACAGATCTAAGCTCCACAGTGTAAACTAATGAGAACTTTGTCTCGCTTCAAGAATTAAGTACAAGGAACTGAAAAATTAACAGGAGAAGCATGCATGGAGTATTGGAAGTCTGTATATCGAACAAAATTTAATCTTGAACAATTGAAGGTTTAAAACCAACTACTCCACTCAATTTGTCATGAATAAATTCAAAAGAAAAAAATCAAGTCTCTAATATAAGATAGAACCTGAAAAGCAAAATTGAGCCCAGCAGATCAAGTGACCGTTTGCATAAGAACTATTAAATATGTAACAAATGTAGAAACATAGGAACATATATACATCAAACCTATAAACAGAATCATTAGACAATACATGATAGAATAAATCCCTTTACTATAAGTCACACTACTTGGAAGCACATTGTAGGTTTTTGTTGTAGTGAGATGAGTTATTCTTCTTTCTCCTTTATGTATCAATTCGTGAATGTCTTTGTGGATTTGCTATGTCGCTCTATGTTTTCCAGCTGTTATCGTACTTTACATTTCATAACTTGTATGAATGTCCATTTGAGTAGATTGGATCAATTTTGAATCATACAAGTGTCTGGCATACAAGAACAAGTGTATACTTGTATCTTCTTTTTTGTTCGGGAAGTACATAAAAAAGTTTATCCAAAAATATCAAGAAAGTAAAGAAGAATCGCATGGACACAAATGGAAAATTGAAGTCCCCACGTGGGCCTTGTATAATGAAAACAAAACATCAGCCTATTACTAACATCAGCATTAAGTAGTTCCTTAATCACATCCCGGAAGTTTATCATTCCTGAACTCCATGGCTAAAACTTTAAGCTAACAATATATTCAATTTGCAATTCTGCACATCTATCTAAATTCATAATGTACGTAGCACGTATACACATTATTTAGATTCATGATATACAATTCATATAATATTGCTTATTCTTAGTACAAGCGCACACACACGACACAGACGTGCTTACAAGTACACATTGTATAGATCTATAATATTGAAGAAAATTAGGCACTAGTTCTTTATAGATGAGGAGATTTCTAATTTTATAGGATCTGGATTAGCAGACTCTTGGTCATTCCAAAGTCTCAACTTGCCATAAACCAAGCCAAGTATGCTTCACTAAAGTAAGCACAGAAAGGACTGATCTCTATGTCTGTAAAGTGTAGCTAAGCACTGATATTGCGCTGGGTTGATTTATCTTTTTCCCAAGGGACAGGAGACAATATGATATGACAATGCAATGGCCACAGTAGTAATTCTTTCTTTTTTAAAAAATTTGTTAACACTGTCACTTGAATCAAAGAAAAAGTAAAGAATGTCAAACAATGTGTCAGAGAAAAAAAACCAAAAAAAGCCTATATTAGTCTTTTTTTCTTGGAAAAACTCCCAAGGGTTCTGAAATCTAAAAGAACTTGTGGGGTCTCAATGGACTCATCCAGATGAGAGGGATATAAACCTTGGGCCTTCAGTCTTCTATGTCCCCACATATTTCACATGTGAATCAGATCTCACATGTGTGAGAGACCCAAAAATCCTACTTCATAATGAATGCCTAACTGTAAAGCATTATTTTTTTTTGACCTGCAAATGCAGAGATTTGGCTCAAGGAACCCTGAAATTGGGTTTTGAACTCTAATATGATGATAAATTTACTAAGTTTCACAAGGATCAAATAGTAGTAGTTTGAACAATAGGACCTTATTACCAGAAAAAATTACAACAATCTCCACACTGACTTTTAATTTCATCTTATTTACCATTGCACATAAAACAATACAAAGGCACAAAAAATCTTAATTCACTACATTAAGAAGACAACTAAGAAGATAGTAGAAAAAAAATACCTGTTTTATGTCTTATAGTATAGTCAGAGCAACTCAGATTGACTGAGAAAGAAATGAATCTATAATAAATTATTCGTTTCGAAAAAGTAAGGTTCCGGTGACAAAATTTGCCCAAATGGTTATAAAAAATCTAAAAAAATTTTAAGGAAAAAATGAGGTGATTTCTATGAATCTCAGTTATTTGGCTTACACTGCTCTAGAAGCCAACTTATAGAATCATCTCTCAATATAGTTTGGGTAGAAATAAAGAGAGACATGATATAAAGGAAAAGTGTTGTGTGTCATGGGGCAAAATTGTTCAACTCCATCCTCAACTCATCCACTATTCATTAACGATGGAGATGGCCCCGAGAAATTGAGATTCAAATACATCTCTGTTGCCCATTGCAAAGAGACAGTGAATGTATCAAGGGATGCAGTCGAATAATGGCGTCTGGTAGGACATAAAAACCGGATCCTAATATAAATAGTAACGAACCGGAGAGGAGAGAACCGAAACCGCAGATCGAGAAGAAACCGTCGGGAGTGGCGATGGCATCAAAATGTTTGGGCTCATTCAGCTGAGTGAATCTGCTAAACTCTGAAGCTGCCATGGTTCTACCACTCTTAATTCTCAATAGTATTTATTCAATTGCCCTGCACTGCCATGCCTGACATCGGAGTAGCCATTGTTGCGATCGGTGGTGGCAACAAAAGTGGATAGAAATCTTGGTATTCCTTGTTAAATAAGGCAATGGTAATAAGTAACATTGTGCTACTCCTTATTTATATAAATTTATATAAATTTTTTTTCATAGATATATTTATATAAAACTATATAAATGTATTTATATAAATTTTTAACATTAATGTGGGACCTAGTGGGAATAGAACAATAGATGCTAGTATATATACATATGCAAGAGGAAGTTTTTTTTTTTTTTTAATGTTAATGTGGGATCTAGTAGAAATGGAACTCTAGATGTCAAGGCATGCATTATTCTAACTGCATTTGCGTAGAGGTGGCAAGGGCTATGGTCCGGCTGGACCCGATCCCAAATCCAAATAGTATTTGGGTCCAGAATTTAGACCCATAATCGAACCCATTGGTTCTCGGGTCTGGTCGGATCCATTGCTACCCTATGACTTTGAGCCTTTTTTGTTATTATTCTCTGCTCTTTTTTCCCATTATATACCCTATGATTATGAGCTTCTGCTTTTTTTATCAATAATAGTGTAAGTGTTGCCAATATTGTGACTATATGAATACCTAGCGTATGCCTAAAGATACTTGATTGCCAACATATACCCTATGACTACAGATATGGGTCGGGTACAGTTGGACCTGAGCCCGGAGTTGGACCGAATAGTATTTAGGTCCGAAATTTGGACCCATACCTAGTCTCGAAGTCGGGTCTACCTGTTGGGTCCTGGGCCTAGTAAGGTCCATTGTCACCCCTATATTTGCGTCGAGCATGTTCCCTGAACATATGAGCAAGATTATGTGGGTCGCATGGTCTACATAACCACAGTGAGTCGGAGGCCTTGGAGGGCCTAGAGTGAATCGTTTGTCTACTGTTTGCAGGGGTATTTTAGTCATTTTTTGTGTGCTATTTTTTATATTTTTTTGTTGCGCTTGAGTATGGTGAACCACTCTTCAAGTTTTCAAGACAAAATAAACTCAAAAAAAATAAAAAATAGAATAGTAATTATACAAGTCTACCCTTCAAATTAATTTTTTTAGTATTACATTCGGCATCCAATTTTGTAACATTCAATCTGTGCCATTCGGCTTATAAAACAAAATTAAGCATAACATATAAAGCATAGGCTCTAATTTGTAGAGCATACCTTCAAATAATGTCGAGGAATATGGTTTCAATATTGGAAATCTTTGTGATAGCCTTTACATATATTTTCATCTTTATTTATAAAGTTTAAAGCTTAAAAAATAGTGTATATCAACATATCTATGTAAACTTGAAAATTGAAGTTCCAAAAATGTATTACAAAATATTTTCAAAACTTGAAATTTATTTTTTTTCTCATGTCTATGCATCTTGAGATGTTACAAAATATTTTCAAAACTTGAAATTTATTTTTTGTCTCATGTCTATGCATCTAGATGTTGAGATGATCAATTTGAGGATATTTGAGCATCAAAACAACATCTTCTAGTGAAATTTTTTAGGCAGGCTCTAATTTGATTGTTTAGAGCCTCGGCTCCATATGAACTTTTCACAATGACGACCACATTGATGAAATACATAATCAATAAAGTGGGTGCAATGAATAAAGGGTGCGGTTTGTATGAAAACTAGGCTCTAAACAATCAAATTAGAGCCTACTCTCAAATAGTATCAAAAAATGTGGTTTCAATATTGAAAATCTTTGTGATAGTCTTAAAATATATTTTCATATTTATTTATAAAGTTTAAAGCTGAAAAAATAGGGTAGATCAACAAATATATGAAAACTTAAAAATCTTGAAAATTGACGGTTCAAAAATACATTACAAAATACACTATTTTCAAAACTTGAAATCCATTTTTTTCTCATGTCCGTGCATCTTGATATTGAGATGATCGATTTGAGGATACTTGGAAATAAAAACAACATCTTTTAATAAAAATTTTTAGGTAAGTTCTAATTAGATGGTTTAGAGCCTCGGCTCCATATAAACTTTTCCCATAAATAAAACATTTCTCAACATAAGAGAAAACTTGAATTATTGCATTTAAGAATTAGATGCTACACACACACACAAAACCAATATTATAAAAAAAGGAATCAACCAGTGAAATGGTAAGGCCATTGCCTCGTCAGCTGCTAGGGATGGCTATGAAAATGAATTAAAAATGGGACCATGAATGCATGTCTAACTGCTTTTTAAGGATATTATGTAATGCATAATATCATTGAATCCCCACCACTACTCTCACCTAACGAGCAAATTTTTATGCTCCTGTGGGAGCACATTATAGATTAACTGCCTCAGATGAAACCCTGTAGGAGCACTCCAAAATCTGGGCTTAAACATTTTAAAGTGCATCTTTAATTTTCAACCTTGTATAAACTCTTTCTATACTTAAAAGGTGTAATTTATATAAGGTTGCACAACCTTAAATAATCAAATTAAGGTGTACCTCCAAACTTTATCATGAGATGCAATTTTAGTGTTGAAATTTTTTAGAATGATGTAATAATAGTTTTTATCTCTAATTATAAAAAAATTTTAAGCTCCAAAAATATTCAAATCAAGCAGATTTACAAGCGCAAGAAAATCTTGAAAATGGACGGTCCAAATAATGTGATGTAAGATACACTATTTTTAAGACTCAAAATTTTTTCGCCATAACTATACATGTCGATATCAAGATGACCAATTTGATGTTTTTCCAACATCAAATCGAAGGATTTTAAAGGTGTGCCTTAATTCTACATTTTAAGGTGTCAACTTCATATAAGATTTTTCCATGTTTAAAAACCTTAAAATCTTATTTTTTCCTAAATTTAGATTAAAAACGTCTTAATTGATTCTTTCGGATAGGGGAGCATGCATCTAATGTACTCTGCAAGACCACACCATACTTTTTTTTTTCTACACAAATTTTATAATTCATAGCCGGCCGGTGTCTTGGATTCTTTTGCTTGTCTGTTAAGAAAAATAGAAGCAACAACAACATTGATGATGGCGATAATAATAATAATAATAATAATTTAGGCCAACCAAAATCCATACAAGTTTCTTTGTCACTCAATTTTTTTTATGTAATTCAGTAGAGGAAGACATGCCCTACTCATTTTTTACAAATAGATTAGGAAGTTAATTTTTTTGAAAGTGTCGGTGGGTTATATCAAGATTAAAAACCACAACGTCGTAACTAGGTATGAGAGTGTAATCCTCACTTAAATGTAACAATGGAAATCTATGGATCCGCACTAATGCGATTCACTTATTTAGTATTTTATATTTGATCGTTGTCATATATTCATCTTAGGATGATATAGGGTCTACATGAGTTTAATGCAAGCTCAAATTGAACTTAGCCTTTTCCAATGGCCACAAAGTAATTGTATTTCCTATTTTTTAAAAATTATGTTTATGTAAACATTTTAAAGTGCATTTTAAAGTGTATCTTTAATTTTAAACATTTTAAAGTGCATCTTTAATTTTCAACCTTGTATAAACTCTTTCCATACTTAAAAGGTGTAATTTATATAAGGTTGCACAACCTTAAATAATCAAATTAAGGTGTACCTCCAAACTTTATCATGAGATGCAATTTTAGTGTTGAAATTTTTTAGAATGATGTAATAATAGTTTTTATCTCTAATTATAAAAAAATTTTAAGCTCCAAAAATATTCAAATCAAGCAGATTTACAAGCACAAGAAAATCTTGAAAATGGACCGTCCAAATAATGTGATGTAAGATACACTATTTTTAAGACTCAAAATTTTTTCGCCATAACTATACATGTCGATATCAAGATGACCAATTTGATGTTTTTCCAACATCAAATCGAAGGATTTTAAAGGTGTGCCTTAATTCTACATTTAAGGTGTCAACTTCATATAAGATTTTTCCATATTTAAAAACCTTAAAATCTTATTTTTTCCTAAATTTAGATTAAAAACGTCTTAATTGATTCTTTCGGATAGGGGAGCATGCATCTAATGTACTCTGCAAGATCACACCATACTTTTTTTTTTCTACACAAATTTTATAATTCATAGCCGGCCGGTGTCTTGGATTCTTTTGCTTGTCTGTTAAGAAAAATAGAAGCAACAACAACATTGATGATGGTGATAATAATAATAATAATAATAATTTAGGCCAACCAAAATCCATACAAGTTTTTTTGTCACTCAATTTTTTTTATGTAATTCAGTAGAGGAAGACATGCCCCTACTCATTTTTTACAAATAGATTAGGAAGTTAATTTTTTTGAAAGTGTCGATGGGTTATATCAAGATTAAAAACCACAACGTTGTAACTAGGTATGAGAGTGTAATCCTCACTTAAATGTAACAATGGAAATCTATGGATCCGCACTAATGCGATTCACTTATTTAGTATTTTATATTTGATCGTTGTCATATATTCATCTTAGGATGATATAGGGTCTATATGAGTTTAATGCAAGCTCAAATTGAACTTAGCCTTTTCCAATGGCCACAAAGTAATTGTATTTCCTATTTTTTAAAAATTATGTTTATGTAAACATTTTAAAGTGCATCTTTAATTTTAAACATTTTAAAGTGCATCTTTAACTTTCAACCTTGTATAAACTCTTTCCATACTTAAACGGTGTAATTTATATAAGGTTGTACAACCTTAAATAATCAAATTAAGGTGTACCTCCAAACTTTATCATGAGATGCAATTTTAGTGTTGAAATTTTTTAGAATGATGTAATAATAGTTTTTATCTCTAATTATAAAAAAATTTTAAGCTCCAAAAATATTCAAATCAAGCAGATTTACAAGCGCAAGAAAATCTTGAAAATGGACGGTCCAAATAATGTGATGTAAGATACACTATTTTTAAGACTCAAAATTTTTTCGCCATAACTATACATGTCGATATCAAGATGACCAATTTGATGTTTTTCCAACATCAAATCGAAGGATTTTAAAGGTGTGCCTTAATTCTACATTTTAAGGTGTCAACTTCATATAAGATTTTTCCATATTTAAAAACCTTAAAATCGTAGTTTTTCCTAAATTTAGATTAAAAACGTCTTAATTGATTCT